GCCAAAACACTATTTATGTTTTTTGACTTTCTAAAGAAAATGGACGTAATTTGAAAATTGAGACTTTGTTTCATATCAATAGTAACAAAGGACAAAGATTATTGCGATTTTTTTTTTTTTTTTTTTTTTTTTTTTTTTTTTTTTTTTTTTTTTTTTTTTTGGAGGCGCGCGCAGCCGCGATACAATGATCCATTCATTCAAATGAAACAGGATGACTAATCAATTCTTGAGATTTAAGAATCGATATCGGTTCGTAAAAATGAGAATCGATTAATATCGAGAAATCGATATTTATTACCCAGCCCTAGTGATCAGTAGTAAATGCTGCAAGTTTGAGTCGCTTATAACTAGGGGTGGGGCAAAATATCCTTTGGGCAATTTTACTTGTCCTTCTCCATGCGATACATACATACAAGAATCGATACTCTTGCGTCAAATGTCGATATTTTAATGAATAAAGTAAGGCGCTCTATATACGTAGATTTCCATGCTCCCAGCTTTATTAGTTCATGGCTCCTCAAGGTGGCTCTCAAGTATCAACACAGTACAGGAATATAAGTTAACTAGCCTCAGAAAAATAGTTTATAATGGGATGGCGGACTAGCCTGGTCCTACGAGACTTTCGTACATTTCATTTGTAGAGTCTAGATGCGGCAGTGACGAGCGATAACTTCCTTGTGGGCGGGTACTCTGTTGCAGTTTTCTGAGTCACTCTTGATCTGCCTTAACCAATCGCTAACGTTTGGGCGTCATGCATGTCTACAACTCAAACTAGCGCACCTCAACACCATCGTTCTCAGCCACTCCCTCTGTTCGCTGATTAATTGATTGTGCAAAACCCAAGAATACACAGCAAACCCAGACGTAGTACTGGGTAGTATAATAGATGTCCAGACCCTGTTTAAGTCCAAATTCTGGACTCACTTTGGCTTTTATAACATTGATGGGACAAACATGTTCAGGGCTCGACATTAAGGCTTGTCCGCTTGTCCGGGACAAGTGTGTTTTTTTTGTAGGACAAGTAGAAGAGAAAATTAGTTGTCAGACCGGACAAGTTAACGTAAATTTCAAACAAAATAAAATGCCATGTTATGTGCCACTCGTTACGTCTATTTTACAGATTTTATTTTACCGATTTGAAATGAACACATTTTTCGCGCTGCCTGTGAATGTCCTGAATGTGACTCAGAGAAAGACGCGCGCCAGTATAATGCGCATGCACAGACCGCGCGCCAGAAGTACTCTTTCGCGCTTGAACGAACATCAACACAGACAATTAAGCCAAAATGTCATTTGTCGAGTATCTTCATAACTTAAAGGCCGTACACACCGGGACGAATATCAGCGCGCGTTATTCGTCAGCGTTTTTCAACTCGTTTTTTGTGTTCACACCCAAGCGTTTTTCGCTGACGATGAGCCGAGTGAACATGCAAATTCATTCCCTGACATTAGATGGCGCTTAATCTAAAACAGAAATAATAGGCCTAATAGAATACTATACTAGGGTGATCATGTTTTATTATGACAGATAGAAAAAAACGAATGAAATAATGATAGAAATGTCTTCTGTATTAGAAAAATAAATATATAAATAATAAATAACTAAACGAAATGCTTCCAAATGTAAAAAAAAATAGCTCTCACAAACTTACAAAAACGAACTAACAAAATCTATTTATATCTTTAGTTTTCATTCTCTTTATCTTGTTTTTCTTCCTCGTCCACCTTGTTTGCCCATCTATATTTTGCTGTAGAACTGATCTTTCCCAGCAGTTTTTGTTTGAAAACCAGGACATTTTCATCACTTAAAAACAGTCAGGACAGGCCGTGGAAACAGGACATGTGTAACGCAAAGTTGAGATGTTGCCCAGAGATAAAAACATAGCACTAGTTGTCGGATGAACAGATGCACGAGAGACGAGAGTTGTCTAGAGTTGAATCTAACTGAGACTAAGCACACTATGCGCAGTTCTCATCTCAACTCAGATTTCAATAAAGCACAAAGTCCGTTTTACACATGTCCCGGGAAAACAGGACTGTTGGTCACCCTATACTATACTATTATTACAGAAATACTAATATAAATATTATCTTATAGCTCTTTATGCTCCGAGACCAGCAGCTTAGCATTCATCTTGCCCATAGGTATCTTATCTCTTCTTCGCCGTATGTGTGCTCGGCAAGACCGTTTTGTGTTTGAGCGCCCTCAAGTTGTGTTTTACTGTAACTTCAGAAGTACCAGACACGTGAGCAAACCCGCCGATCTCGTTGGTCGGATAGGTTTTGACGCGGCGCGTCAAACCAAAAAAACGAACCCGAGGCGTTTTTTTAAAAATGACGCTTTTATGCGTGGCGTTTTTCGTTGTTTAGTCACGAGGCGCAGCGGTTCTCAAACTGGGGGCCGTGGCCCCCTGGGGGGCCACTAGATGGCGCTAGGGGGGCCGCAAAGAAATTCTAGAATATGAAATTATTTAAAAAAATTATTTTACCTGTATGTAAGTTTGGATTGTCCTATGTGAAATCTGCATTGCATGATTTCTTTTATATTGTAAAACTTGTATAAAATTGTATGTCTTCTATATTGAAAAACTATTTCTTTAAGTAGAGTAGAATTTTTTTTGTTTCTTGCTGAAAAAACAGATTGCTGTTCAAATTTGTAAACCAAACTTGAGCCACTGTCATTTACTACCTTAAAATGTAAGAAGTTTAATGCACTTTTTTACAATCAGCAAATTAATTTTTCAGTATTCATCTTTTACTATGAACATCACAAATGTTCAGTATTCAATACTTTTGTTGCACTTTTCAGACAATATTACTGTTAACTGTCAAAACCATTTTTTATTAAAAAAAATGTTATATTTAATGAAATGTACAATTTAACTAATTTTGTATATTCAAAGACATAAAGCTAAAAACAGAACTGTTGTTCCAGCATTGTACAAATTCATTTGTTTTTGGTACAATCTAAAATTTGTAAGTAAAATTGTACGTTTGAGGATGTTTTCGTTATGAGTTTTCTTTTGGGGGGCCACAAAAGGATTCACCCTACACAAGGGGGCCTCCACCTGAAAAAGTTTGAGAACCACTGCGTTAAACGTCGACGAATAACGCGTGCGAAATTCGTCCCGGTGTGAACAGGCCTTAAGTCTTATGATGGACATAAAGAGTTGAAGAGTGTCAAACATGTCCGTTTAAATGTTTTTGAAGTGTTCATGGCAGCCAATCATAGACGTATATGTTGAGCGCGTGAACACAACGGCCAATCAGTAGATAGTAACGGTCATAGTATCGCTAACTGTAACCATGGTATTGTGGCTGAAACAATTTGTTAAAGTTTTTATATGATTCATTTCAGGCTTGTACAACCTTTTGAGAGTTAAATTCAAGCACTTTTCAAGGACTCATGTGCTTCACGCAACTGTTTCCAGCATTTCAAAGTGAATAATTGCATGGATGATTTAAGGTGTGTGTCGATGTTCTGCTTGTGCTCCTACAAATTTTCAGTGAGGGACTAGTAAGACAATGTGGTCTTGAGCCCTGATGACATCTCATATCAGTCGAAAGCAATACAGCACAATTCTGGATTTGAACAATGTGCATGATGGGAGTTCTTCACTCATTGGACTGTTGCCGATGTCATCAAGCTCTCCGCTTGGTGTGTGTGTGTGTGTGTTTGCTCATGGTGGGGTTTGAAGGCTCACTCATACAGGCATTGTTCTGATGCTCTGATAACATGAAAGAGCGTTTTGATGCTTTTCAATCTTCAGTCAGTGATTCTCTGTGTCTCACGGCATCACGGACTCACTGTGCTGAAAAGACTTCCTCCCATGATGATGAAAGATATGAGTAAAGCTGATTAGTTTTACCAGATCTGCTCTCAGAAATAATAGACATGTTTTTTAGCTGCTGCACTTTCAAAAACTGTCCATTCAGATGTGTGTGTGCCTCAGCGCAGAGAAACGGCCATAGGAAATCTGTTTAATAACGGTTTACTTCTCAGCATGCCTTGACCAATCGAAATCATGACATTGCGAACCATTTAACAGTTTGCATAAATTACAACGTTTAGGCCCTTGTGAAATCCATTTTGATTTTTATCCTAGAAATGTTTTTTTTTCTTCTAAATTCTGTCAAATTAATGGTTTAATTAAGGTTTAATACTGAAAGAAAATCGTATCAATTGAATTCATACTTGAATAATATATTGATTTATTAACGCTTATAAAAAATGCTATGCATGTTTTATTTATTGTCTTTAAATGAAAGGGTGTGAGACCGTATCAGAAATGGACACTTCTGAGGTGTTATGGAGTAAATGTGGATCTTCATCTGTGACGTCAGGAACGAGTTGGGTCTGCTTGATCGCAGATGTGAGTGCTCCTGATATGACTCTTAACCTCGGTCTTGTTGACTCTTTTGTGTCAGTGTGCCGGGCGTGATGACGACAGAGGTGGGATCAGAGACAGATGTGAAGAAGGAACCAGAGAAGGTTCCTGAAGCTCAGCATCAGACGGACCCTGTGCAAACAGACCAGCCCGACAAACCCGCCGACAGCGACGCCCAGCCTGTGGCCAGTGCCGCCCAACCAGAGGTAGTGTTGAGATCCTTCAGTGCACACGACAGCACACTGATCTGATTTAGATTATTATTATTTTTTTTGTAATAAAACCACATAGTTTTAGGGGTGTAACGATACACGTATTCATATTGAATGGTTTTCGGTACACCTTTTTAAACGGTTCATTTGACCATTTTTCCTGCCGACCAACATTTCGTTATTTAACAATTAAGTGTAGTCTACATTAAGTCTACACATTAAGTGCCTGCGTGTGGCAAGCACACTCAATGTAAGAGACGCTGGCGTGACCACAAAATTGCCCAACATCGAATAGCAAATATAATGTAAGTGGAACGATACTGAGCTACTCGTTATTGTGTAGTTGACGGACCGTTGATCAGTTTGGACCAATGCAGCGCGAGCCGATCTCAATCATCAGCTCTGTCACTACACAGCCAAATCCAGTAAAGAAAACACTTGAATTCTTCACTGAAGTGATAACATCGCTGCCAGATCTAGCGAGAAACGTTCACATTTCTCCGTTATTAACGGCTCAAACAGTGACGTGGAAACCAGGAGAAACACTGTGCCATGAATGAGCTATCCAGTGTCCACAGATCAGCGACATCACCATGGGTTTACTGTATAACACTCACTGTAGCTGTGGGAGTTTGGCAGGAATAGTAGACTATAACACTTTCAAGTAACATTACATCGGTTTTATTTTGACATTATGAACACCGTTTGTCCCCCTCAAATGTTAATCTGAACTAAAAATAAACCTGTATTTATAATAGAGCCAGACCGATATTATCGGCCGATATTAGGCATTTTCCAAACTATCGGTATCGGCAGTTATAATGGCCGATAAATGAATATTTCCAAAATAAAATAGAAACGGACGAAACACGCTTAAACCATGTCATGAGTGTTGGAGTTGTATAGTTTGTCCACCAGAGGGCGCTCTACACGGTTCCTGTTGGCAACACTCGTTGAGTTGGTCACGAGACATACATCGCTTGAATAACAATTAAAAGAACATCCCCATCAGTTCTCTGAACTCAAATAAGCAGGACAAAATGTGACCATCATGTCCAGTTTAAATAAATAAATAAAAAAATATCAGCCGATATATCGGAATATCGGATTTTAAAATCCGAAAATATTTGTATCGGCCTTCAAAATCCTTTATTGGTCGGGCTCTAGTTTATAACTACTACAATATCACATCTCATTTTGTCCAAGGAGTGGTTTTCATTTATATGCTCCTAAGAAGTCAAGTATGGCTCCATCATTGCTCAAAGTTAAAAAATATCATATTTTATGATGTTCGTTTTAATAAAAATATAATTAAAAAATGAAATCAAGGAAATTTCTCTGCCTTTGCTGTATCGAAAACGTATCGAACTGTGACTCAAGTGTATCGAACCGAACTGTGATTTGTGAATCGTTACCCATGGTACACTTAGAGAACAGGCGCTACAATTAAAAACTTAACGTGTCTAGTTGATAAATCATGAGCCGAACGAGTCGCAGATCAGCAACAGGAGGTAGATTGCTAGAGCTGACTGACAAGATAATGGCGGAATATATACTGTAATGTTAAAGTGAAATGTAAAAGCACCTATTTAAGCGAATTTGTTCTTTCATCAAGAATAATAGGCTAATGATGAAGCCAATACAATTCAAGCAATCCGACCCCGAATTGGCACCAAATTGAAAGTGAAACTAACTAACTGCATTCATGACGGTGCCACAGGCGTGGAAGTAGTATTCAGTAGAATTCGGACGTTCACACACACACACACACACTCATCGATTAACCAGTGGGAAAATATCCCCTAGTATGCGGCAATAGTGACACTAGTGTCTGAACTGATTTGGCTCTTCAGTGTCTTCAGTGTTGACTGTGTCGGTCCCGCAGGAGAGCCGGAGTGCAGAGCCGGAGAGCCCGCAGAAGGAGGAGTCGTCTCCCAATCCCAGCAGCCCTCCTGCCACCGGCGGACAGAAGAAGGAGAAGGGCATCTCTCGCTTCCTGCCTCCATGGCTTAAACGACAGAAGTCCCAGATCCAAGACCAAGCCCCCGAGAGCGCCGAGCAGCCCCAGAGCCTGAGCCTGAAGGAGGAGGAGGAGCAGAGCGAGCCGAAAGACCAGCCGGACGGAGCAGGAGCCGCCCCCGACACAGAGAACACAGAGGAGGTGAAGGAGGAGAGCAGGCCCGAGCAAGTGCAGCTGGAGGAGAACGGGAAAGAGGAGGAGAAGTCAGTCGGCAGTGCTGACACACAGGTGAGAGACGTATGCTGCTCATACACACACGGGCCACTTTTATTCCTGGCGTTTTCATCAACAGTGCTGTAATATAATCCTTTAATCATTAATCCTCATGATGGGCATGAAGTGCTCCTTTGATAAATTCAAAGCAGAATTAACCCCCCCCCCCCCCCATAAGAATCACCTAAGGGGGATGCCCCCCCCCTTTCTCCAAAACGAAATTCAGGCCCTGGTTTATTGTAATATCGAAGAGAACAGAAGCATGATGAAGGATGACGGTAAAATAAGCAAAATTAAATTAAACTGAAGGAAATGAAGACGGTCAATAGAGAGCGAGCGTCCCAGCTACTCACCCCCTGTCCACAGGCGAGCTAACAGATCATTTGTATCTATGCTAGGGCCTTATGATTTCCGCGATAACGGAATCGCGGGCGGAATTGGCAAATTAACGCGGAATCTAGTGATCTAGTGTTAACGCGGAATCCAGTGTTAACGCGGAATCTATTAACTTGGAATCTTGTGTTAACGCGGAATCTTGTGTTAACGCGGAATCTATTAACTTGGAATCCAGTGTTAACGCGGAATCTATTAACTTGGAATCTTGTGTTAACGTGGAATCCAGTGTTAACGCGGAATCTATTAACTTGGAATCCAGTGTTAACGCGGAATCTTGTGTTAACGCGGAATCTATTAACTTGGAATCTAGTGTTAACGAGGAATCTTGTGTTAACGCGGAATCTATTAACTTGGAATCTAGTGTTAACGAGGAATCTTGTGTTAACGCGGAATCTATTAACTTGGAATCCAGTGTTAACGCGGAATCTTGTGTTAACGCGGAATCTATTAACTTGGAATCTAGTGTTAACGAGGAATCTTGTGTTAACGCGGAATCTATTAACTTGGAATCCAGTGTTAACGCGGAATCTATTAACTTGGAATCTAGTGTTAACGCGGAATCTAGTGTTAACGCGGAATCTATTAACTTGGAATCCAGTGTTAACGCGGAATCTATTAACTTGGAATCTAGTGTTAACGCGGAATCTTGTGTTAACGCGGAATCTATTAACTTGGAATCCAGTGTTAACGCGGAATCTATTAACTTGGAATCCAGTGTTAACGCGGAATCCAGTGTTAACGCGGAATCCAGTGTTAACGCGGAATCTATTAACTTGCAATCTAGTGTTAACGTGGAATCTAGTGTTAGCGCTAGTGTTCGCGCGGAATCTAGTGTTTAACGCGTAATCTAGTGTTAAAGGAGAACTCCGGCGAACAATGAACCTTTGGTCTAATAAAACATCGGTACATAGTCAACCGTTCTCTGAGATTTGTTTTCATGATAATCGAATGTAAAGAGTTTTATCTCTAAAAACTGTTTAGCGTATAATGCTAGTAATGGGGGCATTGACTAAGTAAAAAGAAATCGCTAGTTTATACCAGTAACAAAGCTCAAAATAGCCCCACACTAACGCAGTAACATAATGAGGGTCCGTACATGCAAAACGAAGCATTGAGAACTTTGTAAGTGTACAGACCATTTAATAAGAAGATACTTTATGAAGACAGTTCACTTCGCGTATACAGACAGGAGCCATCTTAAAAATAGTCTCGATAAGTCGATCCCCGAACGACGTGCTGAGTGATCTGAGCTATATGAAGTTCAGCGAACTTCTGAACTGTATGAACCGCGGTCTCTAGTGTTAACTTGGAATCTAGTGTTAATGCGGAATCTAGTGTTAATGCGGAATCTAGTGTTAATGCGGAATCTAGTGTTAATGCGGAATCTAGTGTTAATGCGGAATCTAGTGTTAACGCGGAATTTCGTGGAATTTTACGTGTTTGTTTTTAAATTCAGTTTTTGTGTAGGAGAAGAACGCATGTCTGGCATAAATGCAGACTGGTGGAAGCAGATCTGGGTGACACAAACACCCCACCCAGTCATTTCAGCTACAATGACGAAATCAAAACAATGAAAGCATGGCGAAGCGGCTCTCCACGGCTCTGCTTTCGTTGGCAAAAAGTTAAACTCAGCGCTGTAAGCCATCAGTGGCAAGCCGAGCAGTTTGGGGGTGGTGATGGCGCAGTGGATAAAACACATGCCTTTGGTGTGAGAGACCCGGGTTCGAATGGACTGGACAAAAGCGAAGCGAGCTCCGTGAGCGACACTAGGCGAGAGAGAGACAGAGTGTGGCTTCATTTAAACTTATATAAACTAATATCGTTTATTTTACTGGACAGTGTAAAGCTCATTACCATATTTTGTTGTTACTTGAAGAGAGCAGTGATATGTTTCTTAATGCAGTATTTGTACCTCAATAAATTTAAGGTCATTCCCATTTTTATTTCTATACATTTTAATCATTAACTTTAAAAGCACACTCTTTTTACGACTAAAATAACAGTCAAGGGTAAAAATGTAATTAAATTAAAACGGAATTTAGGAAAAAATAAAACTGATTTCATAGGGCCCTAAAGTGATGTATCAAACATGAAGTGAGAATGTCACCCCGTCTCTGGCACCTGTGGTCGAGGTGTTGAGCTGAAGATCGGCTCAGATAAACCTGTGTGTGATCGGACTCTAATCCAGATCAGATGTGGACGCTGTCACACTGAACCACATGCTTCTGGCAGAAACCATCAGCATCCGCCCGCTGACATCATCCAGCAGCCATCCGCTCGGCTGGAAAACATGAGCGCTCGCGCGTGTGTGTGTATTAACTCTGTGTGTGTGTGTGTGTGTGTGCAGCCTGTGAGGGAGGAGAAAGAGGCAGAATCGGAAGTGAAGGAGCGCGAGGAGGAGAAGAAAGGGGAAGAGCAAGTGATTCAGCAGGAGACGAGTGTGCTGTCGCCCCTCAGACTCAACAAGAAGATGAAGATGGTGGTGTGTCACGTGACTCTACTGGACGGCAGCCAGTTCTCCTGCGAGGTGGAGGTGAGACCCGTCCCTCTGTCTGTCCGTCTGTCCTGATGTTTGGTGAAGTCTTTGGTGTCGCATCATCACCGTTGACTGTAGGTCAGGGGTCGTTCTGCTCTAATCCTGTCGGTCTGTGTTTTACTCTTCTTTATTTTATGAGAACTCGGGATGACATTAATCCTGTTGTGTGTATGGAGATATGTGTGTGTCGCTTGGATTTGTGTCTATAATCTTCCCTCATGGGCACCATGGCAACACTATCTGTCAGCAGTACACACGTCTGTGTGTGTGTGTTTGTGCACTAGTCTGAGCAGCATGTGTTGTTAATGAAGCTTATTTAAATATTGTGTGTCCACCATCCCCATACAGATGTTTCTTATAAATATATGACAACCCTTTAGTGGAGGAACTAGACATTAATATAATAATAATATAATATCAGGGTTGAAATGAGGACCCACCAAATGTGGGTAAAAATCAGCTGTGGCGGGAAACACTGTCAAATCACGCTGGGGAAGTTTGTGTAAGTCAAATCTGCACAGACTTAGCACAAGTACTCATAAGATCTTGATTTATTAAATACAGCATATTGCACAGAATCTGCTCATATCTGGCTTACTTGAACACACGCGTCACTGCGCGACAAATAACGGCACGCTTGTTCATTGTTTTGAAGCAATAGTGAAGATTAAAAAGCATTTGGTTAACAGAAAAGACGTCCTACATCCTGCATTTGTTTGATGTTCTTTGTACTGTATTGATCATCTGTCCACCTAAAATATATTTTTTGGAGGAGATGGCTGAATGACAGGATTTAGTTTGAATAAGAAATTAATTTATGCAATCCAAATTATACTTTTTATATACAGTGGGCCCAAAAAGTATTTAGTCAGCCACTGATTGTGCAAGTTCTCCTACTTAGAATGGTGAGAGAGGTCTGTTATTTTCATCATAGGTACACTTCAACTATGAGACACAAAATGAGAAAAAAAAAATCCAGGAAATCACATTGTAGGATACAGTGTGTGCAAACCTGGTGAAGACTTACGGGAAACATTTGACCTCTGTCATTGCCAACAAAGGTTATATTGAGTTGATCTTTTGTTATTGACCAAATACTTATTTTCCACCATAATTTACAAATAAATTCTTTAAAAATCCTACAAAGTGATTTCCTAGATTTTTTTTTTCTCATTTTGTCTCTCATAGTTGAAATGTAGCTATGATGAAAATAACAGACCTCTCTCATCATTCTAAGTAGGAGAACTTGCACAATCAGTGGCTGACTAAATACTTTTTGGCCCCACTGTATATATATATATATATATATATATATATATATATATGAATGAAAGGGAAAATGTACATCCAGCCGGTTGTTCTCTCAGAATAAGCCCCCTGACGGGAAGTGTTGGGGGTCTGTAGAGGTGTTGTACCAGCCTGAAGGGGTTTATTCTGAGAGAACAATCGGCCGGATGTACAGTATCCCGCTTATTACACACCTACTTGCCACGCAAGTATAAAATTACACACAAAATATTGATCTGAGTCTAAAAATATGCAGAGAGTTCAAACTAGACGGACATTTAAGGGATACGGTACATACTCATAACACTTTATTACACAGCATTTCACCACAGAAATAATTATGGAGATAAGATATATTGATTTCAGATTAAACTGTTTTAAAATCGTACCTGTTTGTATCTCATAATCCAACAGTGTACAAAACACTGGTCACAAAATGGCGGCAGCTGCGTTTGTATGAAACGAGAGAGCGAGTCCATGATGCTGTTGGCACAATTTGATAACTGATATAGTTTTAGTATTTTATTAGCTCACCAAATGCAAAACTTCCATGGAAAAAAAATCTAGCAAGAAAACACTGCTGACTTCAGTGACCCGGGTGAGCCTGTGTTTCAGTTTTTACTAGTTGTTATCTGGAAGCAATTGACCAATCAGAATCAAGTATTCCACAGAGCCCTGTAATATATAAATATATCATCTTTTTTCTTCTAGCCAAATTGGCCAGCGAAAAAAATCACTTTAAACCTGGAATATAATATAATAGATTTGCCTGCGGTGTGTGTGTGTGTTCAGTAGCTGAAATAGGATCAGTCATTGAGCTGACAGGAGCATTTAAGTGCATGATGACCTCTGACCCTGCAGTGATTTGGTGGGTGCGTGAAGTGTTTCGGAGGACAGATAATTGGGGGCCCGCTGTCAGTGTTAAATCACCAGTGTCTGCGTCAGCTGCTGGGTTACAGACACACACACACACACACACACACACTAAAGGAACACTAACCGTCAATGCACTGTAGATACATTGATTTTGTAAATGTTGGCCAGTACACTTACAGACAAGTATTATATATTGGCTATATAAAACAGTATAATGGGTTTTAAAGTGACAGCAGCCTAATATATGTGTTGCCAAATTATGAGAGACTGTTGAAAATATGCAGTTTTCCCCATGGCATCAAAGTCAAAATACTGTGGCCAGTGGAAATGCTGAGTGGCTAGTAGTAACTGGAAAACCTAGCCACGGTGACTCGTGAGCAAAAATGTCAATCTGTGGTTATCAACCTGATCCTTTCCATTGTGTATGTAGCACCATGAAAATATGACTCTTCATTATTTTGAATGGATCATATATAGATAGCAAGCAAGTAACACTCTCTTTACAATCACTTCAGCTCACTCTTCCAAATCTCCCTTATAATCGATGAAGCTGCACAAACAAGGTCTTTATTACTGTGTGTTTACAGTTTGTTGGTTATAATAACATTGGGGAACAAAAGCTTTGTTTTGTGTGGTATTGAGTGGATTCGGACTTAAATGCCTCTGATCGGCCATTGCTTTCACACACTCAACTCAGCATGTCTGTGATTGGCTACAGTGATCAATGCTTGAAAAAACACAAGCCCGCACACGCATAACTCGAAACCTCTTCACAGAGCGTGCACACAAAACACAAAGTCTATAAAGTTGAATTGAAATCTAATGGAGTGAACAGGAGTGATCTGCGGACGCTGGAATGGGAGTAGTGCAGGTGAGTGTTGGGATATGATGTTCTGGGCTCTCATTACTGGCCGCTCTGAGAGCTTTCAACAGGCTCGGCTTTGTCCCGTCACCGGAAAGTGCTGAGGCATCACTAAGCGCTATTGTCCTGGTGTGTTCATGCACGAGACGGTGGCATGTTTGCTCAGAGATGAGCGCGACTGTCTCCGGGTCGTCCGTACGCGTAAGCCGGAGCTCCAAACAAAGCATTCCAGACGGGACGCTTTATGGGGACAAAGAGGGGCTCATGACTGCTGGACGACCCCTCATGGATGTTCGGTGCTCCTGTCCGTCCTTACCGCTCTTCTGTCCTCACGCCAGGATTAATTCTGCTCTCTGGCTGAGACGAGAGCGTATGGATGATCCACACGGACACTCGGCCAATCACAGCGCACATATCTTCAGCCAATCACAGCGCAGTGACCTATATAACAGGAGTGCTGTGTGTTTTTAATGCCGTAAGTGCGGAGATCCAGCCGTGTGTTTTCCTGGAAGCCGAACCCGTATGCTCTTCAATGTCCTGGGCATCATGAGACTCTGCTGATCAGGGTCGAGGGACACACAAGGCCACAGCAGAGCTCCCACAAGTGTGTGTGTGTTTGACGCTAATGCTTCCGGACGCTCCTTCACAATGACGCTCTGTGATTCCTCCTGTACGTCGCTGATCCTGAATAAACCCTCTTCAAACATCCCATCAGTGATTCTCTGTGACTTTACAACCCAATTATTCATCGTGTTGTTCGGGGCTCCTTCTTTTGTTCTCATTCATGTTGCGCTTTCTTTCATCATGTTCTTTTAGGCTTTCACTGTCACTCTCTGATCCATTCGTTTCTTTCATACACACACAATCTCCAACAGTCCACCTGTCGTCTGAATGATGCTGTAGTTCAGCGAGCGAAAAAGGCCTTTTAGTATTATTTGTGCAGACATTCACCTTCGGAAATCAGTGAAATCTGCACAGATTTCTAAAACAAGCGTAAGAATATTTGATCTGTTTAGCAGTTGTTATTGCGCAGCTGTCTTCAGCTCTTTCACATATTTTCTAAAGGATTTTGGTCAGGGCCGTTGTTTTGTTGATTATGACATGTGCTTTATATTAGATCAGTGTGAAATCCTCTTCGTTCATCTTTCTAGGTTGTTGAGATCTGGCTGGGGTGTGTGTTTGGTCAGAGACCGAAAGAGCTGCGACTCTAGTAATGTTGCCGTCTGACCCGTTTTTCTGGAGGGACATCCTATTCTTGATGATGTCACCGTCGTGCCATACTTTCCTCCACTTGTTGATGACCATCCTCCCTGAGCTCAAGTGTTTCTAAACCCTTGGATGCGTTTTTGTATCCCTGACCTGAGCGACACCTCAACAATAAATGTTTAAAGCGCCCCTATTTTGCTCCTTTTTACAAGATGTAATATTGGTCTCGGGTGTCCCCAGAATGTATTTGTGAAGTTTCAGCTCAAAATACCCCACAGTTAATTTATTATAACCATTTGAAAATGTCATTTTGGGGCCTGTTTAAAAATGAGCCGTTTTGGTGTAAACCACCTTAAATACAAATAAGCTGCATATCCCCGCCCTGCCTTTGGATGAGGGCGTAACTTGATGCCTATGGCAGTTGGTACTGAGAGAGTGTGAGAAACC